ACAAAGGCAGGTTAAAAGATGAAAACTGAAAGCTTGAGATACAATTCTCCCAACAGATTCTCTAAATACTGAAAGCACAGTTTCACAGGCTGCTGCAGGGCAATGCCATTTACACAGCTACCTACAGGTCAGTAATTCATAGGACCACTTATGCCTCGCTTTAGCAGGGGGTCACCTGAAAACCATGTCCCCTTTCGTCAGTATAAACATTCCAAGACAGCTATGAAAAGGCCTTTAGACCCACTACACTATGATAATACTTAGGTGGCAGTATTAAATATATATACTGTATCTGTCTAATTTAAATCAGATTTGCTCTGTGTTAAACTTTCCAAATGAAAAAAAATACCATACTTTATCAATAGAGAATGTGATCATGCTGATACTGCTGGCTGAGTATCACTGTTTGCTGACTGCCTAAATAAATTCCCCGTACTCATTTAAAAAACAATGCAATGTCTGTGAAGTTTAGTTTTGTTATAAACAATTTATACACTCCTGTGATGAAATGGGGGTTAGGGGAATGGAGCCACTGGCTAGATGCTGTTAGTTTAATTCTGTTGCTCTGAGCAACTGAATTTTTCTATAAACAGAATATTAACTTTAAAGCCCTAAATTCAGTGTGTAGGATGATAGTCAGGCTCACAAATCCTTTCTACTGCCTTTGCCCAGGCAGCCACACCAACCTAAAGTGATTGTGAAGTGTGAACTAGCAAAATTAAGACTTTGAAAACAAGCATCCTGTAATTTTTTGACAGGTAAGATTAACTGGGATTACTTCCAATATTACCATTATTGCTACTGGCAACGCATATGGCATTTTCAACACACAAAACACTTCAGTGCCTTTGGTCACAATTCCAGGCGAGAGAAATGCACACAGAGCCGAGCTTTATTAGCTGTTTTAAATGTAAAGTTCCCCACGTACATGCCTCCTTTTTTGAGATCTGTAGTAACATTGTTTAGATCTGGGATAAAAACTTTATGGGCCTCTGTTGGACTGAAATTGTTGGACTGCAATTGCCAGTACCTCTAGCCAGCTCAGTCAATAGTGAAGAACTCAACAATATTTTGGCAGTCCAACAACTTTTCGCTATTTATTTTAAATAAATAAATAATGCCTACAAATCCACAAGAGTTCTTGAAGTGAGGGACAAATAAAAATCCAGTTGAAACTATACAAAAATAAAAACATTTTGAAAAACACATAGAAATACTCTTTAAAACTTCTACAGTCCTAGAATCCCGTTTGAAACAGATGTAACTGCTCGGAGACCCTAGGTATTAATGTTAGATTAGGGAATGACTGAAAGATTATTAGAGCATGAGATCAACCATATATTTTCTTTTTTAAATCTAACCTAGAGCATGAATGAAAACAAAGCTGAAGCACAATACATAATCTTTGTTTGTTTGGACAATAGGTCTGGTGATTAAAAAAAATATATCTGGAACTTGATAGGTTGATGTTTTCCTTAGAAGAAGCAAATTTGAATTCTGGATTTGCTCCATAACTAGACGGCTGTCACTATATTCTCAGGTAGCAAATGAGGACAACTGTCCCTAGATTCTTAGGCAGCAGACTGGTAAATAGCCTGTACCTCATTCTTCAAGGTATTATTATAGTCATGGCCCTAGGCTTCTTAGATGGATCATCTGAAGAACTACAGGATACATACTCCTGACCTAATGTTGGAAACACATTTGGCACAAATTTATAATGAGGTTTCTTGGTAGGTCATAAAATTTTCAGCCAAGACAGATCTACCTATTTATATTTATGAAGATATTTTCATTTGGCCCATAAATAAGGAAATGTATAAATAGGTTGTGATTAGCTTTAACAAGCAAAGAGATGAGTGTTGGTGTGTGTACATGCACATATGTGTTACTGTATATTTTAGTGCATTTTTATTTTACTGCTAGCTGTCAGCCACCTTGAACACCACAGGATGGAATGGTAGGATGCAAATTTAAAAAAAAAACCAATGAAATCCCTGTGGAGGAATATATTCTTAAAGTTAAAGAGAAGGGCAACACATTCCTCTAATGAACTATCAATGAACTATCAATGAACTATCACTACAGATAGTAATGACACAATAACATGAAATAATATAAGATATGTAAGGAATAAAGACGAATATCAAAGATCAAAACAATAATACAAGCAACTAGCTTAAAGTTTGTGATACTGTAAAGGGATTAGGGATAGATTGAAAAGAAATGTAAAGTGGCACAAACTGAGATGCCCTACTTGGGTTACATCATAAGTAGGGGGAGAATTAGGCCAGTGCTAGTAAAGGTCCATCAGGTGGTCCGGTGGTCCAGGCCTCAAATTAAGAAAGAGGTTCAGCAATTTTAGGGTTGGCAGAATATTATAGAAAATTCATTCTGCCAGTTTAGCTGCCCCCATAACTGCATTGAAGAAAATCAGATGGACAGAACGAGAGAAACAGGCATTTTAGGACTTAAAAGAAAGACTGTCTCTGGTATCTTGGAAAGCTTTTGTTTAAGGACTACCACTAGACAGAGTTAGGCAATCATCTAAGGCAACAGATGCTGTAGGGTGGGAAGAGAACAGCAGCACAGTCGTTGGAGAACTGAGCTTTGTGTGCCACACATTTTGTGCTGTATTAACAGTCTGCTGCCCATATGTACAGTGGAGGATGCTGTCATGTCATCAGTTGGATACTACAGGAGGAATGTGTCAAAGGACACCAACTTGTGCTTTGGATCAGGCACTAAAATGTTTTTACCAAACCTGCATTTTTAAGAGAATTTTCTACAACTGCTTGTAAATTTTGTACATCCTGGTCTAACACATTTGTTCAAGTACTTGGGGTAAATCCAACATTTGCATCAATAGCTCAATAATATATTTATTTCTTGAAGAGAAAGTTCAAAACTGCTGAGAATGCAAAGCTAGTGCCTCTCTCCAGACAGATAGCATGGTCTTTCACTTCGAAAAGACATTTGCATAAATCTAGCCACATAAATGCAGTTAGAAATTCCCAGAATAGGTACTTAATTTGAAAACCCAATTTCAGTTTCAATTCTTCAATTTTATTCAAGAAAATGAAATTTGTAGAATCAGTATAAGTATATGAAACTTGGTAGAATCATACTGACACATATTGATTTAAGAAATAGGTACTGATACGACACCAGAAGGCATCATGAACTACTACTAACTGTAGGCTGTTGATACAGGATACATGTTGAAATGTAGTTAAAGCTCTATACTTGCAGAGATGGAAAACAGCCATTCTCTCACTTATCGTGGATGTTCTGTTCCAGGGCCACCCACGATAAGTGAAAATCTGCGAAGTAGGGATGCTCCATCCACTCAGCGGCAGCCTCCTCCTCCTCGCCACCTCTGCTGCTCCCGGCCTCAGAGACCCCTTGGGCACTGTTGATGGCACTGCCAGGCTGGGCTGAGGCCTGAACTTCCAAGACTGGGAGCAGCAGAGGTGGCAAGGAGGCTCCCACCGAGTGGGCAGCCTCCTCCTTGCCACCTCCACTGCTCCCAGCCCCGAAGGCCCCTTGGGTGCCATTGATGCACTGCCAGGCTGGGCTGAGGCCTTCGAGGAAGGAGCGGGGAGCAGCAGAGGCACTTTAAAAAGGAGCTGTATGCATGTCTCTGCATGGTTGCCCCATGATCAGGGTTGTCAAGGAAGAAAATAGCAACTGACACAACTTTCCCTGGTCCCTCAATAAAGAGGCAGCCTACACCCACCTCATTTTGCGATATCCCACTGGCCTTTGCAAAAATCTTGCCAAGGTATTTATCATAGTTCTTCACGTGGAAAGGGCAGAGGATACCTCCATCATTATATCTGTTCCAGGCTCCATGCCAGGGGCAACCCTGAGCATCACAATTATGGAGAGACACATGTATTCTTCCACTACAGTGACATATTTTTATGTGTTACACCAATAAAAGGGGCAAAGGAAGACCACCCATAAAGAAAAATAGTAACAAAACATTTGCAATGCTTCTCAGCATGTTTTCTCAGCAGTGTCTAGGAGTGAGATTACACATGATAAAATACCTGTTGCCAAAAATGGCAGTTGCAGTGCCAAGTTCTTTGCTCCTTTACACAGTGTACTGAAACTTAATGCATAAACTTTGGCACTATCATACAGTGCATTTTCACCATAAATCATCTGATGCTGTTCATGAGAGAAAAAATGGGAACGATGACCTCAGGGCAAATGGAAGTTGAGCTATATATTTTACAGGGACAAGAAAAAGGCTTCTATTAGGGACAGCAGCCAGTACAGGCTTTTAATATGCTCTTCTGCCCTAGGCTACAAGACTGTCTCCCCAGGCGATCCACCAATATATATATTTTTAGCTGGGCAGTTTTCACTTATAATGTGAAAGTGCTGTTTGGAAGTGAAGGTTTTTTGCCTTCTAGTAAAACCAAGTGCCAAGACTGTCAAGTGAAACAGGAGAGTAAAATATCTGTGTACCACTCAACTCAATGACATACTTACTCAGGAAAAATATAACACCGCAGTTTCTATGTGACTGCAAATCATCCTATTCTAGTTGTATTACCAGACGCCAGGAATTAAAATGACCATAGTTTGAAAGTTTACAATTGCATCCATCAATAAGATTAAAATTCGAAGCAGCTGTGATCTTTAAAATGAAAGAAAGTTAAAGTTAAAGCAGCAGCAACAAAAAGAGCCCAGGCAGAGTGGAAAGAAAACACCAGCAAACCAGCAATTACAGGAAAAGAAAGCATCCATTCTGCAAGCAGCTGATATCTAAATAAATAAACAAGTAAATAAACAGATGCAAATGATTGAAAACTCCATAATCAATCTTTGCCACAAAGCACTAAAAAGCAAGAAAGAAAAGCAAAATTTTAACTGAGTCAAAATATGCATAGCTTGCTACTAAATAAATAAAATCAGCAGGAAGGCCTGGAATTTAATCATGCAAAGAAGAGAGAGCTTGCAGGGTCACGAGCCAATCAGATTCTTACCAGGGCTTCATTATCTTCTGCAATTTCTGATACCGTCTGCAAAAATTTAAAAACTTTCAGGTAAGGAGAAATATTAAAACATATTCTCTTTGAATCTGTGAATCAGTTTTACAAAGTCTTATCAGTGCAACCAGCAAAAACTAAAGTTAGCAATAATTCTAATGAAGCACACTTGAAGTTGTAACAAGGGAAAGAAAGAAAAAACTAGCCTGAAAAGTCAGAAAGAGGTGAGGCACACTTAAGAACTTTACCTGCAGAGTCAGATGGCATAGTGGTTAATATATCAGACTACAAATTCGGGACATTCAGATTCTAGTTCCCACTGAGACATGGAACTTTGACCTTGCCTTGACAACAGTTCATGTGAAAAAGATCTTGCAGTCTTTGTGGACAACAAGTTGAACATGAGCCAACAGTGTGATGCAGCAACTAAAAAAGCCAATGGGATTTTGGGTATAGTGTCTAGATCGAGGGAAGTCATTGTGTCCCTCAATTCTGCTTTGGTTAGATCTCACCTGGAATACATGTCCAATTCTGGAGATATTGACAAGCTGGAAGGTGTTTAGAGGCAGAAGACTAAAATGATCAAAGGTCTGCAGACCATGTTCTATGAGGAAACAGAGATTGGGTGGCCATATGTCAGGAACACTTGCGCTTTTCCTGTATGGCAGGGAGTTAGACTATATGGCCCATGTGGTCTCTTCCAACTCTATGATTCTATGATCTTACTCTAAGATTCAAGGACAGCTACTTCTGGTTGCTCTTTGGAAGTTTTGAGAACAACAGGAACCCATTAAAACCTGTCCAGAAGTTTCATGCTATGGAGGCTAGACCTCACACATCCAAAGCACTTGCTCACTGATTAACTCCACTACACTATAAAAATATTTGTTAATAATATTTGTACTTATAAAGGAATAATGTAGTCAATTTCAGTATTTGCCCTTTTCAGAACTATGAATCAATGGTGCGGTTTCATAGGAAACTTAAAGTTACATGTTTTGAAGCATACTGTGGCCTGTAACCCATGTCAGCTTCCTCTATTAAAAATACCGAACAGTATTAATCTCCAATAACAAGTAAGATCTTTCAATGCAACTTGAAGTCTTCTGTTTCAAAACAACTGAATAAACCTCGTGACATAATATGGAAGAATTCCATCATTAATCCCCTAAAATCTCTATGACAAAATGTGTAAGTGTGCAAGAGTGCAAGCACTCTGTCAAACATTTGGGGACTCATTTTAGCAGGTTAGTTGCGGTGGTATTTCTACATCGAATGGAAGTTCACATAAGCATAGGAACACACTTTGTATGAATACTAGGGGTTAGGTGATTATTCTGTTTAATACATTCAAGACAAGATTGGCCATAGTTTGACTTTCTTCAAGTTGGATTTTGTAGAAATAATTGATTATGAACAGCTACACACAGCTGGCGAGGGAGATTCTTGCCTATGATGTCCTAAATCAGGGTAGGTTCCAAAGAGAAAATGTTTGCCTGAAGCCATCACAGAAATGGGAGGAAGAAGGGGTTGAGCCAACATTAGCTTTCTATCATCTTGGGGGTGATAGAATCACAAGGTATTCTAATTTTAATTCTTTTTACTACAGGCACAGACTTTTCAGATTTTTTCCCCCCAAATGGGCTTAAATGAGGTATTAAATTCAGAGTTGTCCAAAGTAAGCAATATAACCTGAGTTTTCAGAATTTAGCTCAAGCTGAAGCATGCATTTTATACTTTTGAAAAACTCCCGTGCATTAGGATTATCACAGTACTGGGGTTATAAACAACTCTAATTAGTAAGGAGGCCTATCTAAATCTATGATTTCAATATATTTATCCACATTTTATCAAATCAGAAGAGAAAGGAATCAATATTTTCTCTTGACCTGACCCTTGCTGCACATAACATTTCAGGAAACAAAGTGAATTCAAAATGATCCTGCTTGTCAGCAAACATGCTGTGAGGTTAACCGGATTGGGCATGACTTTGTTTCATATGATATTATTTCGAAAGGTTGAAGTCACAACATTTGCCTTTTGGGGATTATGAGTTATGGCTGATGCATTGAAATTAGTGAGCCAGAAGCATCCTAATAATTCACAGTGGTTTTGAGCAGAAAACTGAAGGTCTTTTTAAAAGACTCCATATCTCAAAGGGTATAAATAGCGATGTCCCAATACTTGAAAAGTATAAACAACCAACCACTGACTTTTGTTCTTGTTAATTTTAATATCAGAAAAATCTGAAGAGGAACAGCAGTACAATATTAAGAAATAATAAGTGAAAGGATATTTGCTGAGACATTTGCCTACCACAATATGCTCACTGTTTGGCCTTAAAGGGACTGTGGAATACATTGCTGGCTCTTTACCAAAAGGACAGCAGCTCCTCTTGGAATTCCCTGAGCCACAAAGGCTTAATACTTGCTGAATCTGCACTCTAATATCTGCTAGGAGCTACTTCCAACTGAGACAAATGTTGCCCAGTTCTGACGAAATCAACTCCTTTGTGGCTTTCTTGGCAAAACCCCTGGTTAAGAATCCAGAAGGACCCTAGCTTTCAAGTTCTGTTATGATGACTTAGTGGAGGGAACAGAGAATGATTGTCTGAGGTTTAGGGCTCTTGTAGGAATGAACCTCAAAAATCTTGCCACAGGGAAGGCTCAATTCTACAGTTAGATTAAATCAGCTGAAATACAGCAGTCTGCGATACTATGTTCCACTCACATAATTGGGATTTCTCACAACTCAGTATATTTTGGAAAAAATAAGTTGGTGGAAATCCTTAATGGATCAGGGAAATGATTTGTAAGGGAGATACATTAATCAGAAGGGACCAGAGGATGCATGGAAGGAAGTGATGTCACATGAAAGTGAGGACTACCAGTCCTGTATGTGGTAAACACATGCATGTGTTATTCAGCCTTGTAACTATAACAGCACTGTGACTACTAAAACAAAACAATGCTTTGAGGGGGAAAGAGTAATTTAGACGAGTCAATAATTTTATTCAAGATAATGGACATCTAGACAGCACCTGTATCTCCAAATTTAAGATACAACACACTTTCTGCTAACAACAGTAGACAAGAAAGAACAAGAAAATGACTGTTGGAACAGCAGAGGGGAAGTATTTCAGGAAAAAATGTGCAAAAGATCTAGAGCACACCAGAAAGCTCGACTATATCCATAATGCAAGGAGCATAATGCTCTCAACCTACTTCCCACTGCCTATTCATTTAGGTCTCTGACTTAAAGAAGGGCTTGACTGAACAATTCAACATGGAAAACTAAAACTCTTTGGTTGAGTTTGAAATAATGACTGCCTTGCTGAGCTGTGTATCCAGAACGATGCTCTCTCTTTCTCCTCTACTGAAAGAGAAATTACATCCAAGATATGGGGCAGCAGTAAGCTGAATATACATTCCCTACAATATGCCATAAATACCAATAGCAAAGAGACCCATGACATTTACAGGGAGCATCTAACTCTAAGTGCCTATGGTTTGTTTAGAAATTTTAAGGAAGAATGCAAAGTCCTTTTTATCAGACTGGAGCAGTAAACACAAGATTAGTGATACTCCTCCACACTAAGTCTGGTGAAAAAGCAGATGGGTGATTTTCCTTTCATCCAGATTGCACAGAAAGACAGAAGGTACTAGTACAACTCTGAAAGGCAAATTATGTTTTTTTTTTTCCTTTTAACAATAGCAAATACATGCAACTGAAGCTGACAGTGCTAGCTGAAATCAATGTCAGCATGTATTTTAAACATGATTTTTCAACAACAAGAGTGAACCAGAATTTTGGGTTTTGTTATAGCAGTTTGGCTTTAATATACTACTGTAATATTTCTACATCCTCTTGTTTTCAAATTTGATGGAAAATGAAACACTAACGGAATCAGCTACAGGATGGTCAATTGAATTTATAAAGACACATGCATCCTCAAGAAGGATAATTTTATACCCCATCAGAAAAATACAACAAAAAAGATCTAGGACAGAGCTTTTGGACGGCAGCTCCTAGAATCCTTCAGTTACATGGCTAGTAGCCATGCTGGCTTTAGGATTTCAGGAGTTGTAGTCCATATGATCATAATCTGAGCATTCAATTAGGCTCCCGTTTTGTGCTGTGGTTGTTGTTATAACCTCCTTGACTATCCAAAGGTGTTGAATCTTTGCCTCAAGGCATTTACAAGACAGAGTAATGTATGGTTTGATTAACTGGAAGGTTGGGTGGGAATCTGTCCTTACTTCAAAGTAAAGGTGCCTTACATTGGGAGAAGCATCCTCAACTCCTAATTCAGGATCACTCCTTGAAGTCCTAACTCAAAAGGGTGTGGTTATTTATTTCGTATCAAAAGCATTGCATAAATTAGTATAAAACTGATAAAAATAGAAGAAGTGCAGGCAGCTAAATATATTTTGACCAAAAACGGCCAACAACAATGGCATTGCTGTAGCCTCCAACAATTCTTCCCCTGTACATGAGGCAGGGTATAGAGGACAAGCATAGAGATGCGGAGTTGTTTGTTCTGCTCCACAGTCACACAAGGTGTGGGATTCTTTTAGGTAGCGCCATTTTACCAGGTTGTCTTTTTATCTGCCCTCTCCACTTCTGAATCTGTTCAGGGACTTCCAAGTTGCCCATTCTTGGTTTGCCCCTAGAGGAAGACCCTCGTGGGGGGGCAAGCAGTTGGGATTCCTGGTTTAGCTGCCCAGAGGGATATCCTTGCTTTTAAAGGGACATGGAAAGAACCTTCTCAAATACTGAGTAAATACAGTAGGGTGTTCCCCGGACAACGTTTCTTGTAAACGGCTAATCTTTCCAAACCCAAAAGCATTGTTTTTAAACACTTAAGACGTTTTAAAGGGGTGTGGTGAAAGCTTTTAAAACATGGACAGGAGGTTTTCATCAAAGGATTGGTCTTGAGCTGCTTTGGTTCTATTGTTACAGTGAAACTTTTCTGCTCTTAACCTGTTCAACTGTTGATTTCACAAAATATACAAGCTCATGCTTGGTCTTGGTACATAGTAATGGAAACACATTTCTGTTTAAAGTTTAATTAATAAACAGTTTCTGTTACACACAAAAAGCCATCTTGGGTAGAATCCAAAGTTAGTTTTTATTGTCCTAATCCATCTTCCAAACATCAGTTGTCTAACAGAAGAAAAAAATAACTAAATATATTCCCAGGAATACCTGGTGAAGGCAAGCTGCATGCTTTTAAGCATTCTTATATATTTCCTCAATGAAATAGAGATGGATGAAAACTAACAAAATGAACTTCTAAAAGGAAAATGTGTGATACTACATCTAGGTAGAAAAATGAAATACAGAAATATGGGATAGTTTCACAGCAATACATTTTTTTAAAGGATTTAGGTGTCACAGTGTTGACTCATGTTAAATAGTGTGATGCTGTGGTCAAAAATACCAATTCAATTCTAGGCTGCATTAACAGGAGCATAATATCCAAATCAGAGGAAGATAAAGTGTCATTTTATTCTGTTCACCTGGAATATTGTGTCCAGTATTGGGTACTACAATTCAAGAAGCATACTGTCAAGCTGGAATATGTTCAGAGAAGGGTGCCTAAGATGATCAACAGTCTGGAAACTCAGCCTATGAGGAACAACTTAATGATTTGGGTATTATTTTCTTGGATGACAGAAGATTGAGAGGTGACATGATAGACATTTTCTTTCCTCTCCAGACACTAGACCACAAACCAATGGATACAATAAAAAAAAGAGATTCCATGTAAACTTTAAGAAGAATTTTACCATAAAGCTGTTTGACAATGGAATGGATTGCCTCACAGGCTGATGGACTCTTCAACTTTTAACAAATATCAGATGGGCATTTTCCAAGAGTGCTTTATCTGTAAATGTCTGCATGGCAGGGGGCTGGTCTAGATGGCCCTTTTGACTCCTTCCAACTCATTGAGTCATAAAATTTTATGAAAGTGTTGATATTATGGAGCAGAGGTAGGACTGAGGCAGACTTTGCAGCTCCACATATAACTCCAACATGTGCACACACACACACACACAGAGAGAGAGAGAGAGAGACAGAGACAGAGACAGACAGACAGACAGACCGACAGACACAGACTTTCAAATCCAGGGCTTAGTTCCATACAAAAATGTGTTTCCATTACTAACATTTCATTTTTAAATTGACAAAATAGTTTTCCCTAAATGAAACAAGACTTGAATTAGAAACAGCTACAACCTTTGGGTCAGGGAATATTTGGAGGAATGCACTCAGTGGGTAGCCTAAATGCTAAATGCTGGATTTCTGTATGGCAAGGATTGCACTGCCAACTCTAAATATTTCTAACCAGTGGCTCTGCTGTTTAGGGCTGCTGGGAACTGCAGTTCAGCAACATCTGCAGTGCCATATAATTCCCACCACTTCTGTATGGATAGTTCTCTTTCCAGGTACAACAGCAACCAAGCATGCATTTCTGACCAGGAATATCAGCACTGGGTGTAAGCATAACTACAAATCTATGACTATGTGTGGCTCCCACTCTATAGTCTGTGTTGTTTTAAACTTTCTTTTTTGTTAAAAGGTATTTGGGATTGGGCAATGCCTTCTGACTGCATTCATGGGTAGAGATGACTCATGGGTGCATAGAAAACAGTGATTTCAAGCAGTTGCCTAGGAAGATGTCATTTCTTGCCTCTCTGCGATCTAAGTCCTGGCCTACAAAATCCTCTTAAGTCAACATTTCTCATCACTCAGAATGCATAACCCTCCCCCTCCCCAATAACATTCAATCCAGTAATTCCAAAATTGTTCTGGGCTCAAGTCATGCTGACTTGTGGTGTTAGATGACTTAAAAGGTTCAACATAGTCTGGTTCCAACCCACCGAAGGCAGAAATGTAACTTAAATATAACCCAAATGACAGTTAAGAAGAACTGAAGTTTGGATAACACATCTTGGAATTGTGCCTTTCCATTTCTATTGACTTTTGGAATGTTTTGCTATAAATTTTCTGTTGGTTTTCCTAGATCTTTTTAAAGTACACTTCACACTGCCCATACTTTTAAATACTGTGTAGACTCATGCATTTATAATGGGTTTTGAATAGATTAATTGGTCTCAAAATCTTTAGGGCAGTCAGCAAATGTAAACTTTCCTCTATTAAAGTGTTCACATAGTTCTCATTTACAAAATCCACATGAAGTTCCCATTCATGTTAACAGAACTATAGCCTTCTGAAGTTTGAGCTGCCATGTGTGAAGTTGGCTCCACACACCACTTTACTTAAATTGCATATCTGCTTCATCTTCCTCCTCCTGTGTTCTGTGAATGCCTGTTTTGTCCAGGCAAAAGAATGGAGGTACCGGGGGGGGGGGGGGGGAAGTAAGAGAAAAACGTAAGGCACAGGAAGATGAGGAGAAACCCAATCCTCCAAATAAATGACATTTCAAGCATGTATGGGCCCAATTCTTCCTCGTCTACTTGTTTGCCATGTATTCTGTTCACTTTATGATCTCCCTTCCTTTGTATAGGCAAAACAGACACTTGAAGCATGCAGGAAGAAGAAAAGAGTCAGGAACCACAGAATTACAGTAGTGACACAAGGGGCTGATTCCTCCTCCTTTTCCTCAGGGACCATGGTGAGTAACCCTGTTCTGGAGATTGGAGCTGCATCTCTCTCTTCCGCTTCAGATATTCCTGGTCCATCCGTCTGTCCCATCCCCCCCCCCCCTTTTGCAGAACAATTTACCTATAATCCTTGCATTTTGACTATTTTAAAAATAATAATTTCTAAATACGCATCAAACATGACTTTATCACAACAATAGAATCATGAAAAAAACGGAAATGTTATTGTTACAGAAAAATACTTACTCGGTGCCGCTTTCCACCATCTGTGTTAGTAGTGAAATGCCGTCTAGATTGATAAATTCTTGGGCAAACGTTATATCACGTGAATAGCTAGCTAAGTCTTTCAGTGCTTCCAACTTGGCATCCATACTAGACGACTGGATCCTCTCATGGAGCTGAAGGGCATTTTGCGCCTCACCAAAGGCAGAACATTGAATAAAAGAGAAGGAATGGGGGGAGGGTGAAAAAAGAAGAAACACAGACCTTAATTTCCAGTGTCTATCAAATAAACAAGCACTTTTAAAGAAAACATTTGAGAATTGAGATTTCAAATGGTTGGTATTTAAAACAATGAAGCACATATTTATAGAAAGCTTAATCAAATGTTACCATTTTGGAGGATGTATCCAAAGGACACTTGATGAGTTACCATCCAGTTATCCCATGCTGTCAAGTTCAAACATTTTTCTCATCTCTCCCTGGCTGTCCTGCTAGCAGCTACTATTTGTATGATATTTCAAAAGCCTTTTGTATAGCCAACTTTTTGCCAGCTACTTGTCATAATTGTGTACTGGACCCAGGTGAATTTCACTGGGAAAGGTAAGCTCCACTCTAGGAGAAATTTGATGTAATGCCTTTGAGGGTCTGTCCAGACAGGACCTTTATTGCGGGAACTCCTGCAATAAAGGAAGGGCTGTCCAGGCAATGTTCTGGGCAGTCCCAAATTAATTTGCTACAAACCAGAAAAAACTCTGGTTTGTAGTGAATTAATTTGATAGTGGATTTATTCCGTGCCTTCTTAGAAGGTGCAGGATAAATCCACTATTTCTGGTGTCTGGACTACAGTCCAGAAACCATTCCTACAGTTTACTGGGCTAAATAAACCCAGTAAACTGTGGGAATACCCACCCCCCTCCGTCCAAGCCCCCAGACTCCTTAGAAAAGTAATAAAAACTTACCCATCCTCCATTAGAAGCCTTGGCAGGCTCTCCCAGCACATAGAATTGACATGCTAGGAGAGCAGGGGAGGAGGGAGGAAAATCGCTCTCCACCCGCTCTCCTTGTGCATAATTTTTTATTACTTTTCTAAGGGGTCTGGGGCTTGGGGGGGGGTAGGGCGTGCTTTCTGGGGTGGGTGTAGACAGGTCCCCAGAAACATCCACAATTTTTTTAACATGGATGCTTCTGGGATAAAGGCCTATCTAGGTCTGGCCAGAGAAACAAACTACAGTTAGTTAAATTTGTGTAGGAACATACAAAAAAACTTGGAAGCTAATTTCAAGTGATGAAGAAAGGAAATTGGGAACTATTCATCCATAGAGAAATGGAGTATCAGAAAAGGTGGAGTAAAGAAACACAATGCTCACTCTTATTCACTGCCCCCCCCCCCAAGGGATTCCAGATCAGCAACAATTCCTTGCAATTGTCTCTATTATGTTTTGTTAAAGACTAGTGTATGACCCAAGATAATGCATCTGATTTAGGACAAAGGCAAAGGTAACTCTGATCCCATATAAACAGCTATATATTGTGGCATAGGAAATGGATTAGTCTGGGGTGTCCAAATAATGCTCCAGGCTAATGCAGTTCAACTTGGAATAAACTTGATTATCCAGGTTTATTCCAGCTTTAAAAATGCCTGCAAAGGCTTGGATTTTCCTGTAAGGTCCAGATTTTACAGGTATGGAGGTAATGGGGACTGTCTCCAGGGATCACCACTGGTCCCTAAACCCAGTCCCTAGGTCATCAGATAGTCCTCTATTCTGCACTTCATCCACTTCCCCAGCCCTATGATATGCTGTTTGCATTATACCTCACCCAACCCTTTTTAATTGAGTAGGTCCATCTTAAGCACTCCTGAATTCGGTTTTATATTTTATTTTTAGTGTGCTTTATCAGGGTTTTTTTAAAAATTTTATGACGGTTTTACTTTAGTTTTATATTATTTCTTATTTTTATTTTTTGCTATTTTGAATATTAAGTTATAGCTATGTTGTTTTCTTGTCCTGATGTAAACTGTTTGTATGGTTTTTCTTTGGGCAATGAATGTTTGCCATATTTGTTGGAAACTGTCCTGAGTCCTTTCGGGGAGATAGGGTAGTCTATAAATAAAGTTTATTACTATTATTATATGGCTTCAACTTGCCTTTCATAGGGTGTTCATAAGCAAGGGATACTCAAAGGTTGTTTTGGTAGTTCTTTCTCCTGAAATAAACAGGCAAAGGAAGAAGCAAGTCTTCACATGCTAATCACTGGCTGCATTTTATTCTTAAAAAGTTTTTAAGGGGGATCTTTTTAATTGTGTAACAGTCCAGTTATATAAAGAGAAATTGTTAGCAACTCCATAAATTTCTGCAGTTTATAGATTGGCTGTACAGCCCCTGAAGACGGCCGATCAAGAATATAAAGGCTGAAACATGTTTAGCTTCTTTTAAAAACAGAAAAATCATAAAACATTTTTGAAGAATAAATTAAAACTATCAAAAAGCAGGTGACAACCTGTTTTTTCTTTAACTGTGGATCCTAATTCATGCTTTTCAGTACCAGTTTGTGATTCCTCTGAAATATAGCCTACATAACCTGTTATTCCTTGCCAGTCTCCCATCCAGGTACTAGCCTGGGCTGGCCCTGAGTCTTTCCACAAATATGAAAGGCACTGTGCTCTACCAAACCCATTTTCCTGGAAGATTATCCTGGATGAAATACTACTTCTGTCACTTCATTAATCATGCTTTTTTTCCTTTTTGAGATCAATTGAAAAAGCTGGCTTTCACCCGTCAAAGGGACCAAAGTATCACCAGCATGCTTTTCCTACATATCAGTGGAGGACTACATACAGTTTAGATACAAACTCAACCCCTTTTGAAGGCCCTAGAGCCACTGGATTTTCACATTTTTTACTCTGAACAAGATTATACCTTCTTTTAAGCTCGCGTTGAAGGAATGGCTATGGGGTTGCTAGTCTGGCACTGTGATACTGCAGTACAGCATCAGGAGGAGGTTCACTTAACCTGTTTTATATTCTATACAAAACATCTCAACAACTCCACCTATCTTCTGCAGCCTTCCATTAAGGACTTTATCAAATCAGCCAGTTGTATCATTGCCACTGCATTGTTTGGAAACATGCTGTTATTGAAGCTGTCTCTTTCACATCTTGGTGTAATTGTACAAAGCTGGCACTCTGATGAGGTAAACTTCCATGATCCCTACATGTTTGCCCCATCCAGTACATGTGTACTATTTAACACCCCCACCCCCCACCCCGGTTGTACTGCAACTGTGCTAATATGCAGCTTCAGTATTTTTGCAAGACCTCCCTCCACTTTACAGTATTGGGACTGCAGCAGAAGGAAATTATCGCACAAGAAAGAGTGGCAGAACTACAGCGAGACTGGATTCATTGATGGGTTTTTCACAGCAATAAAAAAGACGATCCAATTACAATTCAAGCACTACAGGACAGCCACAATGTCATGTGGTAAGCCCCATTAACTGGCACTGTTATGCTGCTGCAATTATGCCTTAGCAGCCTTGTGTGATAAACTCCTAAGTCCCTATGTCATTTGCAAAAAAGTCCCAAGTTCTATCACTATCAAATCTATGTAAATCTAGGAAAGATTAAATATCCGAAACCCTGGAGAGCTACTGCCAGTCAGTGCTGGAAAAATGGAGATAAATGGTCTGACTCTGCGTAAGGCAGTTTCCTGTACTTTCAATGTTCCATCTCAGTCTGCTTATTCTAGGCTACATTCTTTGTAATGTTCTGCTGGTACTGACATTTCTATATATTCTGCATGTTTTAAGAATGTCATTGGTTCATTGACATTTTGCTTTTATCACAGTGTAGGGATTAAATTTTTTATTGTAAGGCACCATGAATATTTTGTAGAATGACCAGAGAGGGTTGGGAGGGGGGGATTCAGTAATAGTTTCACAAATTAAGATAATTTACAAGGTTCTTAAATTAAAAGGTTCTCATTAATCAACAATTTCGTGGAATTCATGTGACAAGGCTCAACAAAACAGAACCAGTGAAGAAATGAATCATGGCTCACTGATATTAAACAAATGTTTTCCTTGTTTTAAACCAACAACAACCCTGAAGATTGTCTCATATGACAAGTGGCTAACATAAGAATTGGCTGCTGTCATGACTGATAGATGGATATGCTGTTCATTCAGTATTGCACTCTCACTCATACTAATTCCTGTTGCCATAGTGCTGTATATGCACTCCTGTGGAACACAGACACTCTCTCCCCCTTCCACTGTGGCATTAAAAAAGAAGATGTGCCATGAACAGTTTCCGAGGAGTACACAGTAATTTGTGCTTTCAGGAACAGGAAAGTAGACTGTGTAGTTCATTCAGGACTTGGGATCAAAATAAGCTATCTTTCTTTGAGGACAATAACAAAATAGAACTTCTTCCAGATCAGATGCTTGGCCCAATTTCCCTGGGCTTTTTTGTTGGGGGGGGGTGCTTTTGCCAATCCAAACAGGCTTTAGAGCAGGGGGGCTCAATTGTTGTTGTTGTGTGCTTTCAAGTCATCTCAGACTTAGGTTGACCCTGAGCGAGGTCCGGGAACCAGATACGGCCCTCCAAAGTCATTTACCCGGCCCTCGCTCAGGGTCAACCTAAGTCTGAAATGACTTGAAAGCACACAACAACCCTATCTCATCAGCCAAAAACAGGTCCACACTTCCCATTGAAATATTTATAAGTTTATATTTGTTAAATTTTTTCTTCATTTTAATTATTGTATTTTTAAGTGGGGTTTTTTTGCACTACAAATGAGATATGTGCAATGTGCATAGGAATTCATTCATTTTTTTTCAAATTATAATCTGGCCTTTCAACAGTTTGAGGGACTGTGACCTGGCCCTCTGTTTAAAAAGTTTGAGGACCCCTACTCTAGAGGGTCCCACAGGCAGAAAATTGGCTCCTAAACTCTGTGCAGTTGGTCACTTCTTCATATACCATCCTAACCCACACCAGGACTGCCAGTCAGCACGACTAAAACTTGGTTATTATGGGAGTTGTAGCCCAAAGCATCTGAAGAGTGCCATATTGCTTACCCCAAAATTATTGATCTCTCCCAAGGCTAGGAAAATTAAATGGATTTCAAAGTTTCAATGTTGTAACTTTGACAAACTTCAAATGGAACTGACATTGTTGACACTGACAAGGTTGGCCAGGGAGGAAGTCTGGCCTTTTCATCTATGTAAGGCTGGCTTACTTCATGTCTTAATGTATTTTTGTTTTTAATAGAATGGTGATAAAGTGGAAGGAAAAAATTAACATTTATGAAAGGACAAGAAAGTGACTTTGTTCTAAACCATTGCAGCATGCCTTAAACACTGCCTTGTGACAGAACGTAATGAAATCCAGCATTGTATCTCTCGTCATGTTATGCAGATAAATTAGTCACATCTTTTTGCTATGTACACGGGCTGCAGCCACGTGGTGAATCCCCCACAGCCAAGAAGGCAAGCAACAATGGAGGCTAATTCGTCATACTTTACACTGAACTAACCAATGAAAAGCAATCTGCTTCACACTGTCATCTCATCCCGACAACTCAAATTAACTGTGCTGAGAAGTTTGAGCTTTATTAAGGAAATGGATTACTGGGCATAAGCAAAGTATATTATGGATGAAAATGTACTTTTTAAATGCCTTTCTGCCTAAGCATTAACCAAATTGATTTGGATTTGTCTAATAAACTTCTTCAGTTTCATTCATGTACTTCAAAGGACTGAAGAAAAAACCATCAAAATTTGAGAGGACAAATGTTTTTAGATAATTAAAAAGGAATTAAAGGAAAGATATCTAATTGATTAGCCCACGGTCATAAAGCTGGTTAAGGTAACCTTTTTAACAAGGGAAACATACTATCATTTTCAATGATATGCCAGTGAACAGAGAGATAATATATTTATTGAAAGGTTATTTTAAAACACATGTATGTATACATTTTCATCTGAACTTTACCTTTCCAACAATATATAAAGATTATTCTTTCTATAAAATGCAACTGTTTATTTTATCTTAGCATATTTTAATAAAACTTGTCAACTTTAGTATAGAAGCAAATCCCATATCCTCCTTATCTGTTCTATTTGTGCAGTTGTTATTTGTGTAAAATTAATTCTACATTTTCTACTACTATCATCTGTGCACAGCAAAATATTATTATTATTCATGTATTCAATGGCAAAATGCATCTTCTCATCTCCTTTTCAATATCTTCCAAAATAAAAAGACATTTTTAGCAATAGGAATGACCAAAATACATGATAAATATCTGCATCTGATCTCAGATATTTTTATTTGAAGAAGTTATTTTACTTTTAAATACACTTTCTGCAGAGAACCAGGGGAAAACACATTTAAAAGCTTTTCTTGCCATTTTTAACTGTGTTAAAAAATGTGAACTGTTCTCACATAGTCAAAAATATGGAAAACATTTAAGTAACACTGAACTCAAACAAAACTGGAGTTTAGGAGAACTTCCAACATCCCCCACTCAGCACTACCTACCTACCCTTTAGGTTCTGGACTTCCCTCACTGTCCAGAGAAGCCTTGCAACTGTTTAAAAACTGTTTGTGAAGCTTAAAATACATATTTAACGGTTGATACATTAGAGGAAGAACAAACCTGAAGGAGGAGACACTTCTTTGGCCTGTGAAACAACAAACACTTTCAGCATGATTGATGCTGACATAATCATTTATTTATGTGGGTGGCACAATGGGTTAAACCCTTGTGCTGCTGTACTCCTGACTTAAAGGTTGGCAGTTCGAATCCACAGGGTGGAGTGAGCTCTCACTGTTAGCCCTAGTTCCTGTCAACCTAGCAGCATGCAAATATGAGTAGATCAATAGGTCCTGCCTTAGCGAGAAAAGGCAAAAACATGCTCCATGCAGTCATGCCAGTCACACAATCAAGATGTGTCTACAGACAACATAGGCTCCTCAGCTTGGAAATGCAGATGAGCACCGCCTCCAGAGCTGGAAATGAAAAGGAGTAGCCTTTGCCTGTGTCTGTTATTTGCGTTTCATTGTAATAAGGCATTGAGTGTTTGCCTGTGTCTGATTATATGCTGTAATTCGCTCTGAGTCTCCTTGGGAAGAAGGGCGGAATATAAATAAAAATAATTATTATCATTGTTATTTTCAATATTAGTAGTAGATATTTTTTTTAAGCGTAAGTGAAGAGTCCTGTTAGACTGGCATATTAGTTATTCCCTCCCTCTCCGCCACTAATTCAGATATGGTTGAAAAATATTTGTTTTATAATGGACACTATTCCTTTAATATTTTAATTTTTTGATGGTTTTGGCCAATAGCTTGCTGTTTTTCAATTAAGACAAACTCTGTGGAAGAGGCAGAAAGAGTTCTTGTCAAGACAGAAGTGGAACAGATGTGGGAGACTACTATCTCAAAACCTCACAAGGAGTTGAAACCATGAAAACAGCACAAGAGGCAGCACATAAAAATCCAGATTGAGATTGATAGAGTCTAGAAGTCTGATCAATGTATTGGGAGGAGGGGAGGCATAGTGTTTCTGAGAAAAAAAGATGAATGATTTAGAAGCATAACAGGAAGAAAGAAACTGAGAAAATTTCATCAAGTACCTGCTGTAACCTAGGAAACTGATCTCACCTGTAGGTTTCTGAATGGGAGCAACAAAACCCCTAACATAATAAATAGTTATGGAATTTGAAAATAGGGCAAAGAAAATAAAAGAACAGACTTATTTGTGATGATGCATCTTTAAAACTGCGACTCACACAAACATTTTAAAAGCAAGAGACATACCATGATAAGACTGTCTTGTAATGGAGGTGGATGAGAAGCTTGGTTTTATTAAGTTGCTCAATCTAATTTCTGAATTCACTAACATTTAAATTATTAAAATCTTTTATGGCTGAAGTACAATATAGACTTAATCAGGAAGTAAGTTCTATACTTTCCAAATGAGTAAGAATATATAGGATTGAAGTATGACTCTTATTTTGGTGTTACATTTTACTGGGAAAGGAAACGTGCTGTCTTTGCTATGAGCCTAATTGCTTTGGCAAGAAGAACACATGAATTAATGAAAACCAAGAGGAGCAACCTTGTATTTTGTTCCCACAAGATCTGACTCAGCACCAAGAAAACGCTCCATGCTGCTGAACGTCATCAGGAGGTCCAAAGAAAGAAACAAATATTTTCTACAGAATGTGTTACGAGTTAATTTTAATATCTAATTGATAACTCCTCAGAAATCATTAAGGTAATAGAATAACTGGCCTTTCGGTATATATATATGTATACTGAAGTCATCATAGCACTGGGCAAAGTGGGAACATTAAAAGAATGAAAACATATCAGTAACTTACTGGAGATGTTGTTAATCGAAGTATCGCTCCGTTTTTTATTTCATTACGGTTCTGAAAAGAAAAAGTTCAAAATATCAACAATCCATAATACATTCTCCTGTGTTTGGAAACAGATTTGCATAAATCATGCACTGTAGACAGAAATAGCTGATCTGGCAGCAAGTACTCGGCACTATCCAGTGCACACCAAGATTAATGCATATATTGCTGAAGTATGCCCTTACTAACAATCATTGCAAATGTGTATATTTTTCAACACTAGAATTATTTTCCCTAGCAGAATTTGGATACCTTTGGCTTTGTATTTAAGCCATGATTCATGGAAGTAATAAGAACCAAGGCCCCTCACAAACTAGGATTTTTCCAAACTGCACAGGCTTCATGGACAGAGCACAGCATCTCAAAACAGTTTCCTCATACAACCAATGAACCTTTTTCTAGTAACTACCATCTTTCTTCTATTGCAGTGGTTATCAGCCTATGGATCCCCATGTGTTTTGAACAGCAACTCCCAGAAATCCCAGCCGGTTTACCAGCTGTTAGGAATCCTGGGAGTTGAAGGCCAAAACATCTGGGGACCCACAGGTTGAGAACCACTTTTCTATTGTAAGATGCAACTGATTGTAAAATGCACCCTAATTTCAGTACTACCACCGCCACCAAAAAGGGGCCGTGGTGGTGCAGCACATTAAACTGCTAAACTGCAGAACTTGCTGACCGGAAGGTCAGTGGCTCAAATCCATGGGACGGTGTGAACTCCCGTTGTAAGCCTCAGCTTCTGCCAACCTAGCAGTTCAAAAACATGCAAATGTGAGTAGATCAATAGCTACCACTTTGGCAGGAATGGTACTCAATGCAGTCACATGACCTAGGAGGTGTCTACGGACAACGGCAGCTCTTCAGCTTAGAAATGGAGATAAGCACCACCCCCCAGAGTCAGACTTCACTACACTTAATGTCAAGGGGAAACCTTTACCTTTACCACCAAAAATATACAAAATACCCCTATGTTTCTAATACACATCCCATTTTAGAGATGTTTATATATGGGGGAAGTGAATCTTGGAACTGAAGAAATACAGAAAGTTGCTTGATTCATGGATTATAAAGCTTGGCCATTCTTTTGAGACATGATGGTTTTGTGTAACAAAGGTAACACCCAGCACTGTATATGGGATTCCTCAACACTTCACAAGAAAAAAAAGTTGCACCTGTAATCTGAATAAATTGAACAAATGATAGGACCATAACGTTTAAAGAAATTTGCACAATGAAAGCCAGCATGGTTCAGTGGTTTAAGCACTGGGCTACAATTCTGGGACACCACCATGTGAATCCCAGCCGTGGAAGCCCACTGGGTGACCTTGGGCAAGTTACGCACTTCTCAGTCTCAGAGGAATGTAAGGACAAATCCCCTTAGAACAAATCGTATCTATAAAACCTTATAATACGTTCAGAGTTACCGTGAGTCAGAAACAACTTGAAGGCACACAGTAGCAGCAATATGCATAATGTAATTTAAGTACACAATTTTATTGTTGTTTTAAAAACTCCTTGATTTGATTGCAGGATTTTCCTGTAATGGCAAAGACCTGAAGCACTCCAGACACTGCTATAAAATTATGTAACAAAATTTGAAAAATTCTGTTTCTGGTTTGTATGTTACACTCCAGAAACTTTTGTGACTGCTACAAACTATGTTGAATTGGTTGAGACTCTATGAGATACTCATTGAAAACTATGGCAAAATGTGCTTCACAATGTTCTGCTAAAACAATAATTTTGCAGTTTAATAAACTTTTCCATGTTTTTATGATAGTACCAATTAGAAAATGACCAAGAAACAAAAATCATATTACATAGTGTAATGTATCTCATATTGATTTTGTCAAGCATAGCCAATAATAAGGGATCATTGTAGCTGCCCCAACCATCTGTATCACTGGTTTTTCAGAGCATGTCTCAGGAAAAGTGGTCTCTCATTCTGGTAATTTTGTGGTAGCCATCAATGTTAGGACTGCAGCTCTCAGTATTTTTCACCACTGGATATGCTGGCTAGACTTAACAACATTGAGGTCTGCACAATTCCAAATCTTCATTAATTCAACATGCAAGCTACGTAGGTGTAACAATGGAGTAATTTGGTATAAAACAACTTTCTAGAGGAGAAAGGCTCCAGTTTGCATCTTTATATCCTCAAGGACAGGGCCTTCTTTCCAGTTAAAGATACAAGTCAATAAGATGGCATCTCTGCTGCCAGAATATTTTTACGGTGCTCAATTGGTAGTCTCACCCATATTTCAATCTGAGGCTCCTCTTTACATATTTAGGTTACATATGTGCAAAGAATTACTTTAGCAAGAAAAGTATTAAAGAAGTTCTTAGTACTAATCTGTCTCTTGATCACTGATTCTCCATCCGTTCCATATCTTTGAATAAATAGTATTTTGATGGTCACTTCTTCCATAGGAAGTCACTAGAAAAAGTGTCCCCAGTGCCTTTTGTTTCCTGAAAAGGAAGCAAAATATGATGGAGGCGGTCCATTCCCTTTCAGATCTGATCCCTGTTTTGCAGCTATTACCAGCTAACAAGCAGGAATTTAAAGTCTGCACCCAAAATAAAAGCCATGAGTAAATTACCCAATGAAATTTGACTCTAAACTGATGTCATATAGTTCAAGAGTATGTAGGTCTGCTGAAACCTATCATTAAGCATCTGAAACATTGCAGAGTTATTCCTCCGGTGATCTGTTTTCCATAACTGCACTATGCAATCTTCAAACCACTGGAACCAACCACAGAGAACTGATACCACATGTTTGCATTCCCTCTCAAACAAAGCACTAGTGCTAAGATATACATTACAATATATGGACTTCAAAGTGTCCCTGGTTCTGATTCCTTAAACAGGCAGAATATTGTCTCACATGGAACTAAGGGAGGGAAGGGACTAATTTTCTTTCTGATAAACTAATGTTAGATTATTTCATTAACGTACAGAGTCTTTGAACCTTCTCTTGACTCAACCACATTAACAGGACTTCTTCAGATTTGTTATCAGCCTGTTGCCTGGTTACTAGTGGTCAGTAATAACACTATGTAACAAAATTTGAAAACAAAATATGTTCCTGGTTTAAAAGTGTTATTTCCTATTTAATTGTGTAGCACTTACTTTGAAAGTAGTCATTAAAATCCAGAAACTTTATTTTTGTGGCTGCCAAAAATTATGTTGAATTTGTTAAGATTTTATGAGATATTCATTAAAAACTGTATCAAAATGTACTGCAGGATGTCCCACAAAAACAAAGTTTTTACAGTTTAATAAACTGTTTCCAAGTTTTTTATGATAGAACCAATTAGGAAATGACATTTATAATCCAGGAACAAAAATCATGTTAAATAGTGTCATCAGCACTTCAGAGGATTTAAAGCACATTGTAATCACATTAGGTATGTGCACTGACAACCAGTACTAGTTAAATATCTGTAGAGGATTTGAAACACATCATATTTAAATTAGGAATGTGCCCTTTCACACTACACAATCAAAGCATTATGATTCCATTTTAACTGCTATTGTCCCATCCTGTGGAATCCTGGAATCTGCAGTTTCGAGAAGGCATTTAGAATTCCCAACCAGAAAATGGAGGGCCTCACCAAGCTGGAAATCCTATGGCAGCTGAAGTACACATAGCATTTGATGAGCAAAACTCATCCAATACTTTTTTGTTTGCATTCTGTAATGCTTGGAAGTCTGTTTCGTTTTCAGTGAAAGTGAGGTGGAGCCAAAAAGGCTGCTCTTTAAATTACGAAGAGATAGGCTGCCTCTTGCCATGAGGAGAGGAAAGCAGCAGGGCAGGATGAGCTGAGTGAGCTGGAAAAGAGACTGAGAGAGCACAGAATTCTGGGAAATGTAGTTTGGGAAGTGAGGAGCCCTATGGCATAGAATTCAAAAAGCCCTGCCCTAAACTATATTTCCTAGAATACTGCTCTGCATCATAAAGCTCCCAAAACCCCAATGTTTAATAATTATTTTTATTTATTTATGGCCTCAGTGCATTAACTGACTTTCCTGAAAAACTGGATTATTTATTTATGCATCTATACCCCACCTTTCTCCCTTGACAATGCCTAATAAAGTATCTATCTGCCATTGCCCTGGTGTCAGAGAGGTTGCAGCCCATGAGTTTCATCCCTTCATTCCCCCCCACCCCCATACCTTTTAAAACACCAGCGCCAATTCATGTAGTTGTTAAGTAATGGTTGAAACCAGCACTGGTGTATTAACTGGTAAAGGCCTCTCCTGTTTATTTATTGATTGCATTTTATGTTGCTCTTTTCCCAGAGTGTATTGACTTCACCTGTATCTCTCCCCCCGCCCCCAACACACACACACCAATGTTAATAATTTTCATTATAATTCTTTTAACTCTTATGTATATCTTGTACTGTGTGAAAGTGAATTCATTTGCTGAGATGATAATTAGGTAAGCTGTAGAACTCCATTCCTACTCAAAGAGAAGGTATCTGTAGAACCTCAAGGTTTGTAGAACTATAAAAAAAATCAGAAAACATAAAACGGAATGACTAATGAGAAGTGAACAGGATGTTTGGCTGTTATTGTGTCATCCACAATACAATGGAGTAAGGTAAAAAGGGGCATGGCTTGCTGAAATCCTGAAAAGGGAAGTCCTGCCCTAAATGATTGTGCTGCAAGCCATGATTGTACACATTCTTGTCCAATTAGTGAACATTCATACTTTTAGGTGGCTAACTAAGCAACATGACCGACAGGGAGGCAAATTATTGTTGTTGCTCTTGTGTGGCCTCAAGTCATTTCTAACGTATGGCATATTGCCATCAATTTAATTCATTCATTTTTGAATTGTAGCTACATTCCAGGCTCAAAAGATTGATTAAAACAACAGCATTCAGTGGTTCGTAATGAGTCTGTTTCTCTACTCATCACCTTTTCAAGAATCTGTTGAAAACTATGAAAAGCTATATTATTCTAAAATGAAAAAGCATGCACATTTAAAAAATACATTCCTA